TTTTGACTAACGGATTGGAAGTTTTTATTCTAAAATGTGTACAGAAATAATTTTAAGATTTATTAACGCTTAGAAATTGAATTGTTTTCCAAAAACACAAAGCCTTGTTGTGGCTAGAAAATTTTGTCTCATCAATGGTTATAATACTTGCAATGCTCAATTTTTCTAAAAAAAAATCAAGTGCGATATGGTTAAAAGAAAAAAATTTTATTGTCATCTTTAAATTTTTTATTCATTCATTCAAGTCGCAAAAGGTCTTGGTATCTCAACACGATTCGCACATACATATATAAGTGAAGCTCCACTAGTATAAGCCTATACTTAATAACGGCCTTACCTATTGACTTTCCCATTGTTCGTTCGAGTCTTTCGGCATCAGTTAGTACCTCGACGTCTGACAACATGGCCTTAAGGGCACTTTGGTAGCGCTGATTTATGTGCTGGACGAGGAAACATTTTACAATGAAATGATGATAGTTTTTTTTTTTCATCCATAAAACGAACAATCGTATACCTTAGGAAATATATCTTGCAGCTCGAAGAGCATTTCGTTGACGCTACTCAAAACTATGACCTCGTTTTGCAGCCTCAACCAAATCTCGGCGATTTCCTTGAACGACGGCTACGATAAACACAATAGCGAACATCAATTATATACAGTTACCGATCAGCAGTGCTTTTGCACGATACGCACGTAAACTTTGTTCGTAGGTACGGCAGTTCTGAACTTCACCGTCTCGTGAAGTTGAAGGAACGAGTGATGCAAGCGATTGATCAGCAACTTGGTTTCCACCTCACAGACCTCCAAGTCCGACAGCAGCTTTCTGTTGAAGAAACAAGGTATCATTTCCAAAAAGCGTAAACGCATCCTTTCAACGGCAAAACTGGTATGTACCTCACGTAAATCTCGTACTGTCGAGTGGCAACGAGTTTTTCGGTGAACCATGTGACTTCTCGGAATCTCCTCTGCTTGTCATGTTTGGTCGCGTCGTTGTCGTTGCCACCGAAAGACTCGCTTTTCAGGGCCGCCTCGATGGCCGCGGTGAAGTTGTACACGTATTCCATCAGCGTCTCCAGCAGTTGAACGATTGACGAGTGCGTCGTATTGATACCCTGCTGTAAGACACTCGGCACTTTCGACACACGTGCTTTTTTTTAATTCTGGTTAACTAAGAAATCTGTCTGTTATATGAGTGAAAAATTTCATGCAATAGTTTTAACAAAAATCACTGAAAAAATAAAACAATTGTTTAGGTACACAACATTGGGATGGAAACTTTTTTTTTTATACTGCGCTTTTAAAAGTACGAGTAAACTTACAAACATGCATGAAATGAGTTTAAATTAATTTTTCTAATAATTGTTTTGATTACTAGAGTAAAGCGGTTTTATTACATTTTTTTGTGCTAACAAAAAGAAAAAAAAATTCGTTTTTTCAAAGTATAAGAAAATTTTTAAATATGCACGAAACGTAACAAGATTTATTTATCTAACAAATGTTTAACTATTAAAATGGAACAATTTATATTGAAATTTTTTGTAGTAACGACGTATACTACTT